TGGGGGGGACCAGGCCTGCAGGGGAGGGCAGTTGGGGGCAACCAGGCCGGCAGGGGAGGGCAGTTGGGGGCAACCAGGCCTGCAGGGGAGGGCACTTGGGGGGGACTGGGCCTGCAGGGGAGGGCAGTTGGGGGGGACCGGGCCTGCAGGGGAGGGCAATTGGGGGTGATTGGGCCGGCAGGGGAACATTAGGCGTTGACCAGGCTGGCAGGGGAGTAGTTAGGGGATGATCAGGCTGGCAGGCAGAAGCATTTAGGGGCAATCAGGCAGGCAGGCGAGCAGTTGGGAGCCAGCAAGCAGTCCCAGATTGGAGAGGGTGCAGGCTGGGCTGAGGGACACCCCCACCCCCCAGTGCATGAAATTTGTGCACCGGGTTTCTAGTATATAATAATAGCTGATAGTATTGTTCATATGCCAGGTACTGTTTTAAGCATTTTACATATGTTAACTGAGGTAGTCCTTACAACAACCCTATACGGTGTGTACCATTGATATGACATGGATACTGTTGTTAAGTCTCTGTTTACAGATGAGGAAATTGAGGCACAGACAAGTGATTTTCCAAAAGTCACATAATTAGCAGAACTGAGACTCAGACCCTGGCAGTATGGCTTTCTTTATGTTCCCTTTACAGTGTAGTCCTTTATCACTTTCTTTAAACCCTCAATTGCATATAGTACAGAATGCTGTCAGAAAGAGTATACTAAAAGGAATTTAAGATAAGCCATTTTGTTCTATTATTAACTGAAGTTTATAATACTTTCTCCTTTATTATTTGAATCTAATCATAACTAACATAGATATTATTAAACAGTAATTTAGATTTTACCCTTCAAGATTAATTTAAAGCTTGGTTCAAAAATTGAACATTAACACAGACATACTTGTTTTATTGCACTTTGCAGTATTGCGTTTTTTTGCAAATTAAGGGGTTGTGGCATTGAACAAGTCTGTTGCCACAGCATTTGCTCAATTCATGTCTCTGTGCCACATTTTGATAATTCTCGCAATATTTCAAAGTTTTATTATATAATATTTGTTATGGTGACCTATAATCAGTGATCTTTGTTGCTGTTGTAATTGTTTTGGGGCACCATGTACCATGCCCACATAAATGTTATGTGTGTTCTGACTGCTCCCCTGACTAGCTGTTCCCCCATCTCTTTCCCTTTCCTTCGGCCTTCCTGTTTTCTTAGACATACAGTATTGAAATTAGGGCAGTTAATAACCCTACAATGGCCTCTAAGTGTTGAAGCAAAAGGAAGAGTCGTGCCTCTCTCACTTTAAATCAAAAACTCGAAATGATTAAGCTTACTGAGGAAGGCATGTCAAAAGCTGAGATAGGCTGCAAGGTCTCTTGAGGTCATCAGTTACCCAAATTGTGAATGCAGAGGAAAAATTCTTGAAGGAAATTAAAAGTGCTATTCTAGTGAACACATGAATGATAAGAAATCAAAACAGCCTTATTGCTGATATGGAGAAAGTTTTAGTGGTTTGGATAGAAGATCAAACCAGTTATAACATTCCTTTTAGCCAGCGGTTCTCAACCTGTGGGTTGCGACCCCTTTGGCGGTCGAACGACCCTTTCACAGGGGTCGCCTAAGACCATCCTGCATATCAGATATTTACATTACGATTCATAACAGTAGCAACATTACAGTTATGAAGTAGCAATGAAAAGAATTTTATGGTTGGGTCACAACATGAGGAACTGTATTTAAAGGACCAGAAGGTTGAGAACCACTGTTTTTAGCCAAAGGTTAATCTAGACCAGTGATGGCGAACCTTTTGAGCTCGGCGTGTCAGCATTTTGAAAAACCCTAACTTAACTCTGGTGCCGTGTCACATATAGAAATTTTTTGATATTTGCAACCATAGTAAAACAAAGACTTATATTTTTGATATTTATTTTATACACTTAAATGCCATTTAACAAAGAAAAATCAACCAAAAAAATGAGTTCGCGTGTCATCTCTGACACGCGTGTCATAGGTTCTCCATCACTGATCTAGACTAAGGCCCTAACTCTTCAATTTTACCAAGGCTGAGAGGTGAGGAAGCTGTAGAAGTAAAGTTTGAAGCTAGCAGAAGTTGGTTCATGAGGCTTAAAGAATGAAGCTGTTCCATAACATAAAAGTGCTGATATAGAAGCTATAGCAAGTTATCCAGAGGATTTAGTAAGATAATTAATGAAGGTGGCTGCACTAAACAACAGATTTTCAATGTAGACAATGTAGCCTTACATTGGAAGAAGATGCCATCTAGGACTTTCATAGCTAGAGAGAAGTCAATGCCTGGCTGCAGAGCTTCAAAGGACAGGCTGATTCTCTTGTGAGGGGTAATGCAGCTCATGACTTTAAATTGAAGCTATGCTCATTTACCATTCTGAAAATCGTAGGCCCCTTAAGAAATGTGCCATATCTACTTTGCCTGTGTTCTATACATGGTAAAAATAAAGCCTGGATGACAGCACATCTGTTTATAACATGTTAACTGAATATTTTAAGCCCACTGTTGAGACCTACTGCCCAGAAAAGAAAGGTTCCTTTCAAAATATACTGCTCGTTGATAATGCACCTGGTCACCCAAGAGCTCTGATGGAGATGTACAATGATACAAATGTTGTTTTTATACCTGCTGATATAGCATCCATTCTGCAGCCCATGGATCAAGGAGTAATTTTGACTTTCTGATCTTATTTAAGAAACATTTAGTAAGACTATAGCTGCCAGAGAGAGTGATTACTCTGATGGATCTGGGTAAAGGCAATTAAAAACCTTCTGGAAAGGAGTCATAATTCTAGATGCCATTAAGAACACTCACTATTCATGGGAAGAGGTCAAAATTAACAGTTTTTGAAAGAAGTTGATTCCTCATGGATGACTTTGAGGAGTTTAAGACTTCAGTGAGGGAAGTAACTGCAGATGTGGTGGAAATAACAAGAGAACCAGAATTTGAAATGGAGTCTGAAGATGTGACTGAATTATGCAATCTTATGATAAAACTTGAAAGGATAAGGAATTACTTCTTTTTTTAAAAAAATATATTTTTTATTGATTTCAGAGAGAAAGGGAGAGGAGAGAAAGATAGAAGCATTAATGATGAGAGAGAATAATTGATCAGCTGCCTCCTGCACACCCCCTACTGGGGACTGAGCCTGCAACCCAGGCATGTTCCCTTACCGGGAATCGAACCGTGACCTCATAGGTCAATGCTCAACCACTGAGCTACGCTGGCTGGGCAGAATTACTTCTTATGGATGAGCAAAGAAAGTGGTTTCTTGAGATGGAGTCTGCCGGAAGCCGGTCCACCCTTGCTGCTTGACACAGTCGCTGCAGGGAAGAAACATCTGCACAGCTTATGTTTCAAGGGACCTGGCGTATATGGCATATGTTTGCTCCCCCTCTTAGCGCTATGTGTTTTAAACAGGACCACCTC